AGCTGTCTGAGTTCTGTGAAGGTCTTGTAGTGATTGTTACAGAGCTGAAAGTGGAGGAATTGTATTCTAGCTATGCACTGCACCTCATTGTTTTTTATACTCTCCTTTAAACCTCTTGTATCCCTTTATGTGCCTCCATCCCCTCTTCACCCATGGTTCTGCTGCTGGCCCTCATTCGCCTGGCTGTACACCTACTTCCTAGTTTTTCTTTTGTTTTTGATTTGTTTCAAAAGTCAAGGAAGTGTTCAAGAAATTAGAAATTATACAAAACCAGGCTTTATATGTACCCATAGATTTGCATAGCCTGAGACATCCTGAATCAAATAATGAAGATAATCCCCAAAGACATGTCTGCTAGTCAGTCTGATTGCGACAATTCCTGCACCATGGTTTTCCTCTCAGATGACTCTCTGCTGTGACAAGTTGACAACTAAGACTAAGCAGGACACCATCTGGTAACATTTTGCTTCTTCCTGAGGAATTTCCTTTAACCTTTCTTGCAATGATGGTTTTTTTTCCCCCAGTAAATTCAAGTTTTGCTAGAAATTTTTTTATTCTGTTCTCATTTTCAAAGATGATTCTCTAAAGTATATGGATGGTTTGTCGTACAATAGTTGACATTTTGCCTTGTTGGCATTTTGAGATGTCACTCCACTGCATTCTTACATGCATATTTTGAGACAAATACTAACTGACAACTTTGCCCGTCATCTTCTCTTTTTGATGTACAATATGTGGGTTTTTATCCCCTTCTAGGTACAGCATTTTCTTGAAGTTCATGTGATTCTTGGATTTAATGGTTATGAGGGTTTTTTATGTCAAATTTGAGAGATGTTTGGTAGCTAATTCCTCAGCTTTATCCTAGTCTGTCTTCTCTCCCACCAGAGTACCAGTTACATATTTTTCTCAGTCTTTGTTCTTTATAGAATTTGATTTGGATAGATTATAATGTTATGGTTTCAATTTTGTATCTCTTTTGTTTTTGAAGTATGGTGATATATTGTGTACCCTAATAAACTTGCCTGAGGATCAGAGGAGAGAGCCAGCCACTAGATTAGACATAGAAATCAGGCTGTGGTGGCACACACCCTTAATCCTATCGGGACTCAGGAAGCAGAAATCCATCTGGATCTCTGTGAATTCAAGGCCACACTGGAAACAGAATCAGGCAGTGGTGGCACACACCTTTAATCCCAGTACTGGTAAACACATATGCCTTTAATCCCAGGAAGTGATGTCTGGGTAGACAAAGGTATATAAGGCATGAGGAAACAGGAACTCATTCTCTTTAAGCTAAGCATTTCTTAGAGGTAAGAACTAGAGGCTGGCTCTTCTGCTTCTCTGATTTAGCTTTCACCCTGATATCTGGCTCTGGGTTTTTTATTATAAGACCATTTAGATTCAAACAACATTGAATGCCTATTACTGTATTGTTAACCTATCTAGTGTACTTTCCACTTTAAAACATGTATTCAATCCTAGGAAATGTACTTATGCCTACTTAAAAAAAAAACTTTCCATTTCCTTTGAGAAAAATGACTGTACCCCTGTTTTGCATATGGCTGTTCTCTTTCTACCCGCTTCATACAACCATTTTTTTTTTCTGTTTGCACACAATACTGGTGTCCAAATTCCATCTAGTTATAATACTTGCATTCTATTCAGGCCCATGCTTCATGTTAAATTTTAACTTAATATCTTCTTAAGAGTCCTATGTCCAATAATAGTAACAATCTGAGGCACTGAAGTTAGGATTTCACCATAAGAATGGAGGGAAACAAATCAGTCTATAATACTCCCAAGTGGATATTGCCTTTCTTTTAGATTCCTGAGTGTGTGTGTGTGTGTGTGTGTGTGTGTGTGTGTGTGTGTG